ACTAATCTGCCTAGACAATGATACAGCTTTACAACATCTGATGAATTGTGCCCAACCCCCCAAAAAGGATCCGTTTCACGCATGCCTCGTGCCTCCTCGCTTATTAGGCTAGTGGCAAAATAGCGACAAATACATACAAATATGTAGAGTAAGAAATGGGGAGTGCACTGGAGGAAAAGAGGGACTACACAGTGAGAAATGTCTTTAAACTTTGTTCAATATTTAAAAGGAAAAGTGGATTATACTCGTAATTCCCTCTACCGCATTATATCCACCACAAACTCCATTCCTCTTCTTAAATCATTAATAGTAACAAACCTCTTTCGTAGATTTACACTGTACTCAAAGAGTAAATAATGTATATTGGCGAAATCCACATCCAGTGCCTACCCATCCCCATCCCTTCCAACAGCTTTGTTTATTTTTGCTCGTACACTCTGCCTCGTGAAGTGTGATGCGAACCAAATGGCGTGTTGGCGTGAGATGTAACTGACGATGTAGATGACAGATGTAAAACAAATGTAAAATTCCAAAAAAAAAAACATAAGGTTACATTATGTACCTTATGTACCTTATGTATATATGTATGTATCACACATTTATGTATACATAAGACGCGCTCCTCTTCGTTTTATTATATTATTCCGATTTTTATTTTGGTAATTTTGCATGCTTAGCTCTATTTAGCTCTGCATTTCCTCAAGATCTATATTTCCTGTATGTTCGCTACCGGTTTGGTTACACGCGCCGTGCGTCATGCGACAGCGCCTCTCGGTTGGTTGACGGGCTACGTGCGTAACAGGCTTGGTGGTTTAAACGATCTTAAAACACAAATGAAATGTAGAATCTAACCCAAATCGTAATCTGGCGACTTAAGCTTTAAATAAGGTCTCTCCAACATACATACATACTACTCTGATAGTCTTTTGACCCACATTGTTGTGTGTATCAATGCATTCAATCAATGAATAGTTCGGTAAATAACTCGGCTCCGAACATTCATTTCCTTCAGTTTTTCCCGCAGTGTAATGGACTGTGAAGTGACTGGTTGGCTTTACAGCAACAAACACATGGGTTTTCATGGAGGCCGCAGGGATTCCCCCTTTATTGCCAACAGTATGCTACCCCAAGCCCCCACTCATCCCTACCCTTCCATTGCTTCGATTGCAATTACTTTTGTTAATTGCAATACACACACTCTCCCACAGATACGAATACGGACGGACACACGACAATCACAGATAAATCCATACATACGAGTATGTACTATTTATTTATCTAATGTGGTGAGTCTTCTGAGGCCGTTGATAATGTTTACCTTGGTGAATGTGAATACCCTACCCTAATCGACAAAAACCATGCCTGTGATTTTATTTGGTATGATTTTCTGTACCCGGTACTCGAAGAGTAAATAGGGAATATTGTATTTGTGCACAACGTGAATGTATGTAACGCACAGAAGGAAACGTTTCCGAGCCCATAAAGTATATATATTCGTAATCAGCATCAATAGCCGAGTCGATTGAGCCATGTCTGTCCGTCCGTCCGTACGTCTTGTTGAGCGCCTGGATTTCAGATACTATAAAAGCTAGAGCCACTAAATTTTGCATCCAGACTTCTGTATTTTAACACTGTTACAAGTGTATTTCAAATTTTAAGTTCAAGTTTTTTTCAAATTTTAAATTTTACATTTTTTCTACATTTTTCATTAACATCTACATCTACATATTTTCTCACGCCAACACCCTCCTTTAGCTCGCCCCCCTTCCCCAGAACCGCACAATGCAGAAGCAGAGTGTGAATGAGAGAATGTGCAAAAAACAAATATAAGCTGCGGGACGGGGTGGGTTTAGCCACTGGAAATTAATTTCTGCCGCGTCTCTGACTCTGCCGCGACTCTGCAGTGTGTGGCTCTAGGGGAGTGGGGCGAGCTAAAAGAGTGTGTTGGCGTGAGAAGTGTTGTAGATGTAGATGACAGAAGAAAGAAAAATGTAAAATTTGACAAAAAAAACCGCTAAGGTACAGATGTAGTACTTAGTACCGGGTATAAAAGTTGTGACGCGTAAGAAGCGTCTCACACGTCCCGTCTCGTTTTGATTTGTATAGTACAAGTAAGTGCTCGGTAGAAACAGCGTAGAGCGTGCCAAGGCGTAGTTAGAGGCAGCGGCACACTTAATACCCCTGATAAGATGGGCGATTAGTGCGGCGAGCCATCAACAATGGAGCCATGGGAACAATGGCCAGCATTCTTCTTTTTTTTTTGGCAGGGGGAAACGAATGACCGACTAGAGGGTGCCCTGTCTTTAGAACCGGGTTAGAATATTTCATTTATACGAGGATAATCCTTTCATAACATAATAATATACTAATTAATATTTCCATTCAGAGTCTGAATTCTGAGGTCGCTCTACAACTCTCTACAATTTAATGGATACCCCTTAATACAGTTAGAGCATCTACGAGTATCTATAGATCACAAGAACTCTTCTAATCAGAGCCACTTGTCCACGCACAGATACATGGCGCTTGGCTCTTGGGTTTCTACTGTTTGAACTGAGTGTTCGATTGCTTTCCGTATCGCTCTTCGTCTTTCAGTCTTGCCACGCAACATGGGCGACAAGAGGTCTGGATCAAGCGCCATCTCCGTGCCTCCCCCAGACATCGAGATGCAAAAAGAGTTTGAGGAACAACATCTGGCAACAATTTGCGGTAAGTACCGCGCGCTATGTGGTGTTCAAAAGTATTTCCAAGAGCGTTTTGAGTAAAAATTTCCCCTTTTCTGAAGGGTAATAAATTTAGAAGCTCATGCGGTAGAAAAACCGAGGGGCGTGTGGCAGGTGTGAGGCTGCGTGTTTACCTTGCCACAAACATAAACAAAAGCAAAAAGCGTGAGGCAGAAAATGAGTCTGCGATTTGGACTTCCTTTGGCTGCTGCTGCTGCGGCGCCAGAACGCATCTGGTGGTGGTCTCTCCCCAGCGATTCGGCGGTAGATCCCCTGAATATTTCGACCTGAAAAACCTGTGTGCCCCTCCGCATCTCTCTTGCTCTTTCCCTCTCTCTCTCTCTCTCTCTCTCTCTTTCTCTCTCTGGGAGAAGCAACAAAAGAAACAGACACAGATTCAGTCATAAATCGACAACGGAAAATAAAATGCTGTTAATTTGTCTATCCGTCCAATCTGCGATCCGGCACTCCGACTAAAGCAATTTAATACCCGTATTTGCCGTCGAATTTGCAGCACATTTTGGGCTTCCCCCAAAAACCAACAAACAGACAGACGACCGACCACAGTCAGGGGATCCCCAGTCCTCGAAAAAAAAAGTTGGACAATGAAAAAAAAAACAGAGTATGTCCGGAAATGGTAGGCAAAGAAATCAACAGAAAGTGACACATCGAGACACCACAGATCTGGATAAGAGATAATAATGAAAATATCCTAGAGATGGGTATTTCGAAAGGTCATAAGATCAAGACATTTTGTGCCAGGAAGTGAGATTTAAATGGGATGATAAATAAAGGAAACTTGAAAGGAAGTGATTTGAAGGTATCAAAAGAATCACTAACTAGATCAAATATATTGCAAGTACGATTATAATAGAACGAAGCTATTTAGTTTTACAAAAACTTTAACAGTGACTCAACAACTTACAAGTGACAAGACACGACCAGGGGAGCAGAACGACAATCGTAAAGTGTGCTTGTGTCTTTCACCATGTACATACTATGTACATATGTATGTATATTTAACACATAAAATAGTTAATAGACCAAGGAGAGAGATACAGATATGTTATATTTTATAGTAATATCTGACTGCTGTGGGGATAACCTTGGGGGTTCCGTCTATGGGATCGTGTGTCGTACAATTATTGTATTGTGGAGAATGGAAAGATTGTAAACAACTAACTTTCCCCGCAGCTGATTTACGGCTGCGATAGAGCGATAGTAAGGGAATAGAATTCCTTATCTGCTACTACCGACCTTCAAGACTGACCGATACCGTCGGCATGAACACCAATGATCCACAACTATTCACAAAACGCAGCATGATTATCTAATCGGGCAATAACTAATATACAGCCATAAGTGGCACTCACTTGATATTCTGTCATTTGGAAGTAGTGATTGCAGACTGCGAGGCGTGAATTATGGCCCAGAGAGACTGTTTAAAGTTTACATATCGGATTACATTCTCTTATTGGGGGGAATCGACAGTCACGCTGACACGTGCATCGCATCGCACCGCTTGACAACAGTTAAGACAGCACATTGGGACTGACGACAAATATATATATAATAACTGTAATACCCTCCCTTCGTTAGAGTATGCAAAAATAACCCTTTGGCATAGGGGGAAAAAGTACCGGAACGCGGTTCAAATGAGGCCAACGAGGTGGCAAGTCGCTGGGTAATTCACATCGAACCAGCAGCGGACAGACAGGGCATATCACATTTCAGTTCGACCATAGTTTAACCTTTGCCAAACGCCGCAGCCGTAGCCGCAGCCATCGCCGACAATCCCCCCACCGTACTGATAACAGCGACAGAGGCAGCGGCAGCGACTACATTTTGAAGCTCTCTCTCTCTCTCTCGCTCTCTCTCTTTTTCTCTGTGTATCGCTCCCAGAGGAGTGAGATCGGAAGTGAACGAGCGGCGAGGCGAACGCGAATGATGATCGGTCGTTGGCAATAAGTTTCATGCGATTTAAAAATTGTTTGGCATTGCGGCGTCGACGACGACAGCGCGGCAGTGGCAGTGGCAGCGGCAGCAGAATTCCGTTCCGATTTTTTCGCGCTCGTCTATAAACACAGGTGCGCCCTTATGCTGGCCAACATTCGAGCTTGTGATACGAAAACGAAACATAACCCAAGCCAAGAGACTCTCTGCGCTATGTGAGACACCATTCGCACCCAAAAAGCTACGCGTTCGCACCACCACCAAAGTTTGACCTTCGCACTACAATCACAAATTTTTGCACAATTCTTGCCACTGCAGAAACAACAAAAGTTAGAGGAGCAGCAAATGCAACAACAAGGCTTGCCGAATGGAAGCAAAGTGAGAAACAATCAACACAAAAAGTTCCTAAATCAAAGTCACATTTGTGCAAACAAACAAACAAACAAAAAAAACGCACACGAAAAAGTTCCTAACAAGAGCGACGCCAGAGCAGATCTAACAGCAAGTTTAACAACAAGTCTAACAGGAGAACAACAGAACAGGAGCAGCATAATCAGAAGAAGGAGAAACAGAGACAGCATGACAGCACTGGGATTAGTTCTGCTATCAATGATGGGTAAGTGTGTAAGCGAGACAGTGACAGTGGGAGTGGGAGTAAGAGTGGAAAGCAGTGAGTGGTCTTATCGCATGCCCCTGAACATCGCTATAAAACATTCGGTTACCTTATCTCTCTCCCACATTCTGCACATCTATCACGCCTGCAATCAGCGTCAGTCGAGCAAAGATACGACATATGTATAGGAAAATCGTATTTGTACACATGCGAGGGGGGATATGTGATTTTTTTTTTGTTTCAATTAATTACTGACATTTAACAAAATTGTCATTTACGGCTTTACTGGCTTGACAGCCAGCGCACCAGTCCGACGGAGCGAAATTGTTTTTGATTTTAATATGCATAATAATTTGCTCACCCTAGCTTTTGCTGGAAAGAGGTCGAGTCCTTTCATTTCTTTATGTCTTTTGGCAAACACCAAGCATGTTTGCTGAAAAGGGAACTACATATATACATACATTCATACTATGAATGTATATTTATGTACATATGTGTAACCGGAAAAGGCCCACTATCGAGAGGGATCAAACATGTTTGAGCTTTGTGCAAAAGAGCATCCTCTCTTCGTCTGTATCGCTATTTTTCTGCCCTTTTCATTGTTGTTTTTTTGCCGTTGGTTTGCACTCAATTCTTTTTTTTCCTCCCGTTGACTTTTGCTGATGTTTTTGTTGTAATCGAGCGTGACTTAATTTCGCACATTCCTCCCCTCCCGCTCGCTCTTGCAGTGAACGGTTATTTGTTTAATGTGCGATGGATGGAAATGAGGGACCTCCGCGGATTCCCTGCAGATCATCGGCAATATAATAATAATATTGAAATGTCTCTATTATATGCTTTGCCTGATTAAAAACAAACAATTACCTAAGGGACAGCCTCTCTGCCTTTCTCTCTTTCTCTCTCTCTCTCACTCTGTCGCTCTAATCATTTGCCGGTAATTTAAATACCTCAATTATGCGACAATTTAATCAGCAACGGGAATGGATGGAGGGAATGACAGCACGGCCTGACGGATTAATCGAAAATTATCAAAGAACTTTGCGCCTTCGCCTCGAAATTGCTTTCTGTAATCAAATGAATGTGTGCTTCCCCCTCAATCACTAAAGCAGGGCTTTAGTTTGGCTACCCGTCCCCATCCACATACATATTTCGCGTGTGTACAAGATAGTAACATTTAATAGTGTGTAAAAGGCATGGATTGAATGTGTGTGTGGCAGTGGCATGTGGGAGGAGGTGAGAGGAAGATTGATAGATAGCAAGTGTGAGAGTGAGAGTGCCGCAAAGTTTGCAACATTGATTAGGCCAACACACAACGCGAGTTTAAATGTTTACTTTATTAGGCCTGCGTAATTAGGGTAACAATTAGGAAGCGGAGCGGGAACGTATAGCGGCTCTTCCTGTGGCTTTGCTGTAAATATAAATGTTATTAACATGTTACACACATACACACTAAAAAGTAAACGGCATAAATTAAACAGCCAACGATTTGGCAAATCCCCCCCTACACCGCACACCTCACACCTGCGTGTCCTCCTGGAATCCTGCTCCTTCCTGCTCTGTTTATTATTCAAGCACGCGCCACCAATGGAGGAGTCCCTCCCGTACACGATGGGATAGGTGCCAGAGCTTTCGGTCTCTCTCAATTTTAATTAGAAACTGCCGCCATTAAGTTAGTGAAGTGCTCCCCTCCTCCGCCTCCTCATTTTCCGTTGAAGTTTTCCGTATGCATATAAATTCGAAAGGAACTTGGAGAGGGGGGGGGGGGGGTAATTTCGAAGTTTTGGCAGACGTCGGCAAACATGCAGAACTTCTCTTTCCCCCTCCCCAGTGTTTGCCAGCTCACACGCGCACATTAAACAAATTTTGAATAAATTAGTTTCGGATCGGAGTCCACATTTGAATTTATGTATGACTCACGGAGGGGAGACGGCGATTGCGACTGCGACCCTAGGTCCAAATGAATCCGGACCGAATGGAACTTCTTTTTTGCGGGGTCCCCGCAAAGCCATTGATAGATGCTAACACCTGTTGCTCTTGGCCTTCCCCTCTCTACACCTGATGTTCACTTAATTATTTCGAAGTCGAATTGCTGAATCATGCGGATGCTGGAGCAACAGTAGCGCCGAATTGGGAATACCCTACCAGAGGTGAAAGTTTCACATTATATTGAACAAAAGGGAGTTCCCTATTTCTTTATTTCATTCTCGGAAAAATGTGAGAGATCACAAACAAGAGATAATCGTATGTCTGTCATATATACCCTTGACATACCCTCCCTGAAAATACATAAAAATCACCTAAGAAACAAGACAAGATGCAAACAAGAAAAATATGCATATTTAATACGCATTCTAAAGTACGAAGTGTAAATACCCTAAAGCTGGTGGAGCTGGAGAAACTTTGATAGCTTGAAGTTCGCTATAGAAATCCAGGGATCTCAATTCATTGAATAATGATACATTTCCTGATATGTCATTTAAATAAAGTCCCATAAGTCACATGCCAAAGCTGATAGACCTTCCCTGCACACTTCAATAAAAGTCAACAAAGAAACGGTAATCGTTAGCATATTCAATACACGCGCAGCGGCAGAGATTCAGCGCCGGCTGACGTTCGGCATGATCTTCGGCTAATCTTTGGTCTTCGGCTGAGCGGATGTTTGGCTGTTGACGATTGCGATTGCCAATCGTAGTTGATTTGTAACTTGTTTTGCTCTCTTCTATTCCTACCTCTCTTTCTCTCCCTGTCGAGGGGCAACGTAACGGGGGAATTTTGTGGCTGGCGTTTCGAGGGAATTGGGGAGCCAGCGTGTCAGTGCATGTTCGCGCCTCTCACTGGAACCGAAGACACCGCAGCAGACAACGTGTGGGGGAGCAAAAGCAAAAGCAACATCAACCCACACATCGGCTATCATTTATCAATGGAATGTGAGCAATGCACGGTAGTAGCACAGCAGCACCACAGACCACACTCCCACCACCTAGCATCTAGCATCTAGCACCTCCGCCCCACCACTTCCCCTTTACAATTACAAAGAATAGAGTTTGTACGAAATCTCCACGCAAGCAGCAGACTCTTCCTCTCTATTGGAGCTTGCGGGCGCTTTTCTGTGTGTGTTTAAGACAAGCAAAACCTCATTAACCCAAGGTCGTCTGCCTCTCTTTGTCTATTTCCAGGCTATACGCAGCACATGCAGCAACTACAGCCCAGCAGCGTAGGAGTGGAGGGAGGAGCACGACTGCTCTCCCGTGCGGACTGGGGAGCCCGCGTGCCGAAGTCCGTGGAACATTTCGAGGGACCCGCTCCGTACGTCATCATCCATCACTCGTACATGCCCGCCGCATGCTTCAGCACTGCTGAATGCATGAAGAGCATGCGGGATATGCAGGACTTCCATCAGCTGGAGCGCGGATGGAACGATATCGGCTATAGCTTTGGCATCGGAGGCGATGGGATGATCTACACGGGTCGTGGCTTTAACGTGATCGGAGCCCATGCCCCCAAATACAACGATAAGAGCGTGGGCATTGTCCTCATCGGAGATTGGAGAAGTAAAATACATTTTATAACAATCATCTGTAGATTTCTAATGGATTGCCTCCCAATATTTAGCTGAATTACCGCCCAAGCAGATGCTGGATGCTGCCAAGAATCTGATCGCTTTCGGCGTGTTCAAGGGGTACATTGATCCCGCCTACAAACTGTTGGGCCACAAGCAGGTGCGCGACACAGAGTGCCCCGGCGGTAGACTCTTCCAGGAGATCTCCACGTGGCCGCACTTTAACAATTCAATCCGTTTCAACACAACGACGGAGCAGCCACAAAAGGTAGAGCCACAGCCACAGCAACAGCACCAACCGAAGACCCTGCCTGCGAACCCCAAGGTCTAGTTAAGCTCACTTCTAATTTTAATCCTAATCCCCAATACCCTACAACGCCACACGAGCTCCCGCCTCCCCCGCTCAATGCCAAGGAGTTCATTCAGTATTCATTAGATGTCTCTCTGCGAACATTTCACAAATAAAGCAATTTCTAGATGATAACGCTTAAGCGAACCTAAGGCCACGACCCGTCCCCATTCCCGTTCCCGCCATCTGTCAAATCGAATGGCAATTAATTTGTGTCAACTTCGATTTGGATGTGACAAGTTTTTGCCGGAACGACGCGATGAAATTGTCGTCGACCCCAAAGGTTGACCGTGATTGGCCGCGGCCAAAATGGGGAAAAAAACGGGGACTAAATTTCCACAAGGAAACTTCTGCCACCGAAACGAGGGTACAAACAATTCAATTAATTATTAAAAGCCCCGGGGGGAAGTCACATATCCAAATTTCAAAAGCACAAATCGCCTCTAAATCGTTGCTTTTTCTGTTGTTCTGTTGTTTTTAAAGCCACTCGGTGCAGCTGATGAGCACAAATGTAGCATTCTTTTCGGCTTCTGAAAATTAATTTTCACTGCATATACAGAGGCAAATGGACTACTTGAATTTGGCGCCAGTGAACTTTTACACTCCCATTTGATATCACGGAAAGTGGATTTATTGAGAAGCGGGAGTTCTAGTATTGGTCCTGGGACATTTCATCTGTGCCAAATGAGTGCAAATCGATAGTTAATGAATTCATATGAGAGTAAGGTGAATGTGCAACAGACTCGCCCAGCCCTAGTCCAATCGATATGCGATCAATGAGACTATAAATACAATCACGCACCCGCCGACCATTGCACGGCTCCCTGCATAAATGTCAACCGTTTCCGAGTAATCTGATTGTGATTCGAGCAGCCCCCACGTCCACAGCCACACATCACGAAGACAATGTAAATATTGCAAGCAAATTAGGGAGAATCACCGCAGATCCATCAGCATCGCAAGCATCCAGGGAACAGTACAGAAACAGAATCACTAATGGGTTTGGATTTTCTAGACGAGTGGTTTCTATCACAGGGTAAGACGCCGCCGTATCCCCACGGCCCTTTCCCCATTTTCTCCCTTGAAATAGCTTCTACACCCACGCGACAGAGAGGAACTTGCGTAACTTCAGAGTATAAAGTGTAAGTGTAAGTGTGTGCGGAGGAGGGCGAGGTTGGAACTCCTTGACGTGGGACACAGCTATCGGGTTATTAATTCCATTGAACCGACGGCGTGTCGGAGCTGCACCTGCCAAAGGTCAATTGGACCCCACCACCATCTCTTTCTCTCTTCTCACTCTTTCGCTCTCTAAATGAAAAACGATGCTAAAAATATTCTTTCTCTGTCGGTCAACAAAATGTTCATTTCATTATGCTTTTTCATAGAAAAAGAGAGCCAGAAGGAAAGAGAGCAGCAAGCAATAGAGTAGAGAGAAGAATCGGTGAAATTTTTTAAATTTTCTGGCATTTTCGGCCTGCTTGGAAAATATATGAATTTAGTTTTTGAAACGCCGTCATAGGAGCTGCTGTTGCCTCCTCTGCGTTTCGGGCCAAAAGAAACCACTTCGTTACAGTGTCTATGTGTATGTGTGTGTGTGTGTGTGATACGTGTGTGTCAATTTAATTTGCGGTTGTGGTTGTGTGGGTGTACGTTCCACGATCCACCAAAACCGTTTAATACTATATGGAACAAAAACTGCAACAACATCGGGCGCCCCAGCCAATTAATACACATCGAAAATATATCTAATTATATGTACATACATACATATGACCATTTATCCAAAAATATGTATAGCCAAAATCGGGGCTGCAAATGCGCAGAACTTTATAATGCGCTCAAAAGTGTCACTGCCTCCGCCGTCGATGGCCTCCGAATTGATCCCATAAATCTCTGGACAGCAGAATCATGAATGGTGTTCCTAAAATAAATATAAATATATGTATGTATGTGCGTACATACATACATACATACATATGTACATGCATGGCCCAAAGAGCGGTGTATTTTTAAACTATTTGTTGACAAGAGCTGCGGCTCCCTTTTTCCCACTGCTATCAATGCAATTTTCTCCCAGTTAACAATGTTAATTGAGAATTCGAAAACAGACCTCCGTTCGCATTCCTCTACCTCTTTTGCCTCTACCATGATGATGGAATATTCCTAAGTATCATTTTTATTTGCATATCTTGTTAAATTAACGCCTCCAGAGAGAGAGAGGAGTGGAGTGAACAAACCAGCCAAAAATTTGCACTTTCCAAAAAGAGATTAAAACGGACGAATTGAAATGAATATGGAGGAGGAGGAGGAGTAGGAGGAGGACAGAGGATTGTAGAGTATAGAGAGGTGGAGAGAGGGGCAGTCCAGCGAACAGCCATGCAAATGGCAATGGAATGAAACAAATTCGGATTTCATTCGCCCCCTTCCCGCACCGCCCACTCGAACACACTCTCCTCTCTCTCTTTTGTTGAAATACAAAAAGAAAAACAAATATAAATCGCCAGAGATGTGTGCTTCCTTTTATTCGTTTCGATTGTGCCGTTATAGCACACTCTCTCTCTTTCTGTCTCTCTCTGAGAGCAATCTTCTCACTCTCTTTCTCACATACTCTCTGTGGACGCGTCTCTCTTTCTTTTTTTGCTTTCTTTGGCGCTTTTGACGCTGGCTGGCACAAAGAACCTAAAATTAAATATTTTCGCCGTTTACATACATATCGCAGAGGAGGCAGTGGCAGAGCAAATCGTTTTGTTGTTGTTGTTGTTGCTATTCCCGTCTCACTTGCTTTTGCTGTTGTTGTTGCTTCTGTTTATTGGAGTGCATATGTATGTGTATGTGTATGTGCATTCACACACGGAAAGAGCATATCTAGGCAGTTGACTGGACACACCTACAGTGCCTATAGTGAAGGCTCTACTGATAGAACAGCCACCAGAACAGCGCAGGCCACTCTCCACCAGGAGAGCCTCCACTGTCAGCTGTAAGCAGTAGACTGGACACGCAGTCAAGGCTCTTTTAAAGGGAACAATGGGAGTATCTTTACAGCAGAAGCACCTCCACTGTGATTGCATATCCAAACAGTCGAGTGGACAAACCGTAAAGAGACGTCTCCCACATTGCCCAGACTTGTTTACATAGCCAGGCAGTCGCCTTGGTTACAGTAGACACATTTGCGCGAAAGAGCGATGCATGTGTCCTTGTAGTTGAGCCCACACTGTGCCATGCACTAGTCAGTTCGCTAAGCAGTGCAGCACACAGTTAGGGCTCTCTGCATGGTGACAGTGTCCCTGCACGCCTGGAGAGGCTTTACTGTGTGCGTGCACATCAAAGCATTCCATGCCATTTCTCTCCTCTTCCCTCCTCTCAGTTGGGAAGCATGTGTGCGCCCGTATCCCAGTCCCCGTATCCATGCCTATGACTATGACACAAAGCCCTACATTCTCTCTAGGCAACAACAACAGCAATCGCAACAAAAACAAAAGCAAGAAAAAGCTAATGAGCGCATTCATTTAAAAATAACATTGAAATGAAACATTCCCAAATATACAACAAATTAGAATTGGACGGAAAATATCCCAAACAGCTGTTGCCCATCGTCGGCACCGGACCGCGAATAAATAGCACGGCAAACAGAATCTAACAGAAAAAAACACTAGAAAAAATTAACAAAGAACAGAGCCGAATTATCAAAAGCGAAATAGAAATCCGCGAAAGAACGAAAGAACGAACCAACCGAACCAGCGAACTGAAAAACAGAAAATACGAGTACAACGAAAATCGGAATCTGAATGAAATAACTTTTTGGACAAGTCGTCTCGACTCTCCCTCGACGGCGGTGCTAATGTGCAAAGTTTTGTGTTTTCATCAGCAGGAAAAAACGGACGGGAAAAACAACGCGAGAATTTACGGAAAATTATTTAAAAAGTGTGTGCAAATAGACGGAGACGACTAGCTCGACAAGTGGGCAGCCCCTCCCCTGGAGAATTAACGGTAGAGCGAGCAGAGCGGCAGAAAAGCAGCATTAAAAGCAAGTACCCGAAGCAGCAAAAGCAGTTCAGGAGGAGAGACAGCAAGCAGTAGCAATGCCGTTTGTGACACCCAGAGCGGGGACAAGCAGTGCAAACAACAGTGCGGGTCGCACCACATTCCGCCCACCGTGGGTGAAGGAGGACGGCGCCTCAGCATCCAGTGGCACAGCCACAAAGCCCACGACCACGCCCTGGGCTAAGAAGACATCGGCAGCCGCTGCCGCCAAGGAGAATGGTGACAAATCCGCTCCAGCTGCGGTCTCTGCCGCCAACAGCAAGACCAATGCAGCTCCAGCCGTGACGACAGCGAAGAAGACTACGACAACACCCGCGGAGACGGCTAAAAAAGTGGCTGAGCCCGTCAAGAAATCCTCCGCAAAGACGACAACCGCAGCAGCAGCAACAACAGCAGGCAAGAAAAATGCGAATTCGGAGCCCGTGAACAGCAAGAAGGCCCCGGAGCCAGTGAAAAAGGTGGTACCCACTGCGACCAAGAAGCCAGTGGCAACGAAGAAGAAGGAGCCAACGCCACCGCCCGAATCCTCTTCGGAGGAGGAGGAGAGCGAGGAGGAGGAGGAGACTGAAGAGGAGACCGAATCCGAGGAAGAGGAGACAGAGGAGGAGACCGCATCCGAGGAGGACGAAGGCGACGACGATGACGATGACGATGACGATACAACGGTGGACGAGAAGGTGCCCGAGCACGTGAAGAAAGCCGCCCAGCTGCGTCCGACAACGGTCAACAAGAAGGTCGAGCCGGAAAGTGAGTTAAAACAGCGTTTCACCCTAGAGAAACCCAAGTTGCGGAGCGTAGCGGTGGTCAAGCGTGACAAGTCAATGAAGAAGGTGTCCGCTGAGGAAGAGGAGGCCGAGGAGGGGGAGACAGAGGAAGAGCGCGAGCGCCGGCTGCGCTTCAAGCTGGAGAAACCGAAGCTGCGGCATGTGAAGCGCGAGGAGAAGCCGCTACCCAGCAAGAGCACCGACGACCTGTCCAAGATCCGGCCAGTGCTCAAGAAGGTACCCAAGATCGATGAGCTCCTCAAGGAGCCGAAGGAGGAGCCCAAGCCCGAATTTAAGACCAAGACCCTGAGGAAAGCCCCGTCCATAAAGCGCGAGCAGAGC